AGCAGAGATGAAGAAGCTACGGGTACAGACAGAACAGTGGAGAAAAGCTGCAGATGCTGCAGCAGCTATTCTTTCTGGGGGTGTGGAAATGAATGGGAGGATTTCAAATAGGTGTAGCTCAATGGATAAGCATTTTGGTGGTGTGTTTGAGCCTCCAGCTGGTGGATATGCAGGTTATGTTGGTTCACCTGGTTTGGGTGATGACATGGATGATGGTTTCGGAAGTGGAAAGCGTAAAGGCTCTGGAATTAAAATGTTTGGCGACTTGTGGAAAAGGAAAAGCCAGAAGTAAAACTTTTGTCTCTGAAGTATGCCGAAGTAAATTTTACGTATTCATGTATAATGGTTGTGAAATGGCTGCTCGACATTTCACCTTTTGATGGTCAAGTGTTACAATCGTCGTGGCAGTTTGGCCATCTCATTCTCAGTAGGAAGTAGGCCTCTGCTATTTAATGTAAACCATTAAGGATGATCTTAATATGGTGTAGTCTTATTTATGGGTTAGGTCTGGAGAAATCTGTGATAGAAGGGGTATTTCTTGAAGCCCTGTGTAAAACCAAGGTTCCATCATCTATGTGTTATTCCTTTTAAAATGTGGCTGCGTTCTATATTTTGCAGAATTTGTTTTGAGCTCGGCAAAGGCATCATCAGATACTGATCTCATCTATCATCAGGCCACTAGCAACTGAAGGTAACATTTAGGTTTCTTTGTATTTTCCCCATTTGTTAAGAATGTTTGATTGTGCTGACAATATCTATAAAAATAGCTAAGAACAAAATTAGTTAGGTCTACCAATATTGGCATAATATCTAAACCATCGGCCTCTGCAGGCAGCCCAAGCTCAGCAGCCGCACCTGCAAGTTTTTCCAAAGGCAAATACAAACTGTAGTTTTTCTATCGCAGGCCATCCCAGACATCCAAACCTTGTCAGAAAGTTGAAAATTGGCCAGGCCAATTGTGATTCTAGGCCTTGGCAACTATCCTGAAAACCAGAGATCTAACCAATATAGCCAGTCAAGAACCTGAGCCCTTTCTCCAAATCAGATATATATGCATAGTCAGGCAACTTTATTAAAACTTTATCAACCACGGATAACTATGACTAATCCAATGGGTTCAGATCAAGCTATGCCCGCTTCTTCTCAAAAAAAGCACCAAAGTGTTTTATCTACTAGCAATTGACTTCCATATATATGCACATATACATTCAAACATAGGTTACAATTTGGCATTTTGAGGCCCATGCTATGATGTTTATTAGAATGGTTTTTTATCAGATTTCCCACAATACATTACCTAATTCAAATTTCATCTATGGAATATAGATGAGAGAAAAAAGAACAGAAACTGTACACTTGCCACAGTCCTAATCATCATCAGTTTCATAGTTTTGTCACAGAGGTTGGAGTCCCAATGCTTGTATAGCAATTTTCTCTTGTTTCTTCCCTTCTGATTTTCCTCGAATATTACCACCTGGTTTTTGATACCTTTGTCTAACTGTTAGAGAAAGCCCCTCTCCTTTAATCTTCCGTAGTAGCTGCTAGTGCTGGAGCTGTCAAGGATACCAGCTTTTGTCAAAGCGTCTGCAGGGTTACTGGGAACTTCTTCAGACACCTTTCTCCTCTGCACTGTGTACATGTTGAAGGATTAGTTCCCATAATTCAAGTACACAAACAATTACACTGGCAAAAACCATTAATTTAAGCAGTAATGTTTCCAAAAACCATCATCCTTAAAGACCAACTGAAGTTGCTTCCCTCGCAACATAATATTCTCTATTGGAAACAAGCAGCCACAGAAAACTTGTGTACACATTCAAAAGCCTCAACCTGAAATGTAATTAATTACAAGGAGTATCACAGGGAGCCATCCAAGACATGAGTCTCAACTAATGTTGAACACATTGATGCCAACAAGCACAAAGACATTACTGTCAAATGAAAACTGATCAGGGCATAGCAAAATGGTTTAAAGCAGTTTGCAGAAGGATCTTGTTTGAAGCAGTAAAAAGTTCGCAGATTTCTTTTCAAAGGAAAGGGAAGATACTATTATTCTTGAAGCAGGCTTTTTCTACCTATTACTTGATACATACAAAGAAATACACGTGTAACTAGAATGAGAAGAGTAGTTGATTCTGGAGAGGTCTTGATAATATAAATAGTAAGTAATAAAAATACTACAAAAATGAAGTTGGAACTAGAGCAAGTGCAATGCAACAACCAACATACACATTCATTACATTTATTTGCATAGCTATATTATTAATGAATGAGGTCACCTGTAACAAGTTCCAGGCCACAAGCAGTCAAAACTAGCCCAGACTACCAGTTTTGAGTGCCATCACTCACATATAAACTCGAGTCATGCAGCTGCAGATCACCAAGAAGAGTGGCTGTAAAAGCATAGCTAATACATTCTTCATGCATGAGTTCAACCAAAGCAGACAAGTTCAAGTGAACAAAATAATTATGTGGATGCAAAAATTAACCAAAAACATCATGCCCAAATGTAAGGAAACTTGAACCCAAACTGATAAAAAAATGTTTTATGGATTTTCCAAAATTATAATGTAATTTCCATTTTAGATCCATTCAGTAAAAGGGTTATTGTGGATTTTCGTTTAATATTAATTTGGTAATTAACACTATTATTTTTTCCAAAAAGTAAAGTGTATTTCAACCAAACTTAAAGAAGATAAAGACAGTATGTCTCAAACCAACCAAGTTTTGGGCTCAGTGGGCATGCAGTACCTGATTTTTCTCTAATTGAAAAGCTTGTACTTTATATTTGAGACATAACAACCATTGCATTAGTAAATTAAATTATTAAGCTTGAATTTAGTGGGTGGAAACATTTCTTCATTAACTAATATTAATACTAATAATAATAAATATAGAAATGTCAAAGCATTTTGTGACCACAAAAATTGTGTCCTATGTTGGTCCTGTACATGCCACCACCAGCAGTCCCAGTTACACGCTTTACCAAATGCCGCCTTCACTGCCTACCCAACACTTTTTAAGTTACAATTAAAAATAACATCTTCATTTCATTCTTTTAAAAACTATTAAATTAGTTATCAATCATTACATATATTATACAAATAAATAATAACTTAACAACGAAAAAATAATCGACCTTTCATTACTTGAATTGATATATTTGTAAAATATATAATCATAAATTTCAATTCAAGTCATCTTTTTATTTGTATTTTAAATTAAGTAATGTTATTTTGCTTGATATTTAAAACTTTTAGATTTCTCACAGAAAACAATTGGCTGTCAATTAAATTGAGAGGCATGTAAGGTTGCCTTCAAACCAAAGCAAACCCTTCTCCCACCTCTCAACAAGTAATGATATTTTGTGTATCATTATATAATAATAATTGGATTGCTTACAAATGGTAATGGATTGCCCAAGAACCCTTTAGCATTTCTCTCTCTTTTTTTCAATATTTTAATTACTTTCATAAAGAAAAAAAAAATCAAAGAACCAAAATCATAAAAAAGAAAAAATGTGTAGGCTTGGTACGTATCTGTCAATGAATGATTGGCAAAACACGTGGGGATTGAGAGGACAAATGAACAGAGACATGCACGTGATGTATAAAAATGATGGTTGAATGAATTGCAGCCAACAACAATACATTTATTTGCAAAGGCAAAACACCCTAAAAAGGGCCGACTGCGTTGGCTGGCTGCTTGGATCATTGCCTTTGCCCTATTTTTACCTCCTTTCTTCTTTGGGTGAAATCTGGTGCAGCCCTATGCTGCACATTCAGCAACCAATCCATCACAATCCCTTAATGCCAATCACTATTGATGATGTCCTTTTGATGGTCCAATTCAAAGCACAAAACTCACCACCTCTATTTGTAAGTAATCACACAACTAAGCAAACAAAATAGTAATTCAATCATTTAACGTTTTAATAAGTTAAGTGGTTAAATTATGTAATTAATTCTTATACTCTAACAAAGTAGTAGATTTAATCTCTATATAATAATTTGTAAAACTTAAATTTTTATATTTTATAAAATTAATAATATCAGTCCAATTATTAACAATATTAATTTTTTTTATTTATGTTAACATGGTATTTTATTGTTAAAATTCAAATTTGACTTGAATTAAAGCTTAAAGTTTAAAGTGAATATAATTTTTGTTCTTTTACCGTCATTTTAAAATTATAATTTAATTTATAACTAACCAAAGCATATACAATAATGTTAGAATTCTAATACAATATTATTTGAATTTATTTTAACAAGTCATAATTATGAAAACAACCTTAAAATTATTAGATTCGAAATTGAAGGCGCAGCAAGTGTGAGTTCACCTAACGCTATATTAGTCTATATATTTATTTTTAAATATAATAACAGGTAAATCATATATGTATATATTACGTAATAGTTGACTGGATTGATATAATATTTATAAAGAAACATCTAAATAGAGTTGATGTTTCAGTGGGAACCCAAATAGTGTAGATCCTTTTATGAGCTTGAGAAGGCACTAGAGAGTTGGGAAACAAGAGTGTAAAAGGTGTCACAATCTTAGCAAGTCACAGTCTCTCTGGCGGCACGCGGTTTTCGGTTGGGGCTTAAGGAGGAAGAAGAAGAAGAAGAAGAAGAAGAAGAAGGGTGGCCAGTGGTCCCAGCAGAGCAAAGGAGCCCACCAGATATTATCTTAATCATTTTGCTTCTATGTGATGTACGTACCTAACCTGATGGTTTGGAAAGTGGAGGAATTGTTTACGACTACCTTACTTTTGAGATAAATTCAGGTCAAATTGACGGTGTGCTTTTCAAACGAGGGAGCAAAGAATCTTTGACAGTGGCTTTGCAGGGGAAAACCATCAAACCGTAATGGTACAGCAGCTTGTCTACCCCAAAATTTGGATATGGACCGTCATTATTGGTATTATGAATTGTCAAATGTGTGTTTTTATTCTATGACAGTGGGTTGGGTTGTGTTGGGTTGGGGTGGGTTGATGATGGGAATCACAATTTGTACTATTAACAAAGAGGAGGATAGTTACACTGGGGAGAAACAAGGAAGAAAGTCAAAAAGGAAAAGAGCAAAGATTACACAGTTTCTTGCCAACTATGGGAGAATTTGATACCAAGCTCTCTCTCTCTCTCTAATCCTATTTTCTTTTTTCTTCAAGTATAGTAAAAAAAAAAAAACATAATGATTGTTGGCCTAGAAGAGAAGATTAAAAGATTGTGACTTCATTATACATTATGAGGCTGCTATCCTTTCAAAGTGCATGAGCCTGTTATCTGCCAACTTTGAATTGTAAACAGATTTTTTGTACTCAAACCATGTAAACTCTTTGTACAAGCTTTGCTCTCCCCCCATCAGAGATGGCAATGGAGCTATCTTCTCACTCAAAGGTGGTCCCCCAAAATATATCATTGAAAGCCTGGATTTCACACCGTTGGCCATTACCCTATGCTTCACACTTTTAAACCTTCCATTGGTCATTACCTGCAACCCATCAACCCGCCAAAAATCCAGTCAGAGGAAGAAGTGAAACTTACAATTTTTTTACTTCAATCTCAAAAAGTGGGTTTCCCTTGGTGTTGGGACTTGGGAATAATGAGATAGTTTGAAAGCTTACACAGCTAGGCTGTTTGTACTCTACAGAAAAATTATTAGTGGGGACTGTAAGTGAGATAAGACAGATGTTAACTGATAACAATTCAAAAGAATATTCGAAATATATAATATTTTTCCTATCAGAAAATTCCCTTGAAAAAGGAAAAGTCATTTTTAAAGCTAGTATACTTGTTGACAATTAAAAAGATTCAGTATTTTCTGTCCAATGAAAAATTTTGGATTACTTTACTTGTTTTCATGTGTTTATATTAATGAAATAGGGAGTTTTCTACTATGTTTGGTTAGGATAAAGAAACGTGGTTTCTGTGGTTTTTTTCATTGTACCTGTAAGGAGTCACCAACATTGATGAAAAATGAGTATTGGTCAGGTGGCACTGAAATCCAACTCCCATCTCTAAGAGAGATTTGAAGGCCAGAAGTGTTGTTGGATCTTAGCACTGAAATGATTTGTGGGTCAGTGTGTTCTCCAAATCCAATCACATTGCTACCATTCAAAGATTGGACATCAGGGCATGGAGGATAATGGTTAAGCCTGAAAACAGAGTCACTCTGTTCATCCATCAGCAGCTTACTGAACACATTCCTGGGCTGAATCTTTAGCCCATCAGCTATCATTTCAAGTATCTCACACGCCATTTTCTTCACTGCTGACATGTAATTATTCAAAGCAAACCTGCCATAGCAGAACCAAAAAGTTGGAAAAACAAAAGCAACCCAACAAAAGAAATGCAACAAGTGACTAGAAAACTACAGAAAGAAAAAAAAAAACAGAATCCCCTGGTCGGAAAAAGTGTTGTTAACATACCTGAAGCTTTCCGGGTTTTCACCTGAAAGGAATCTTAGGAGGTTGGGGTCGTGATTGGTTGTCAGGAGAAGGTATTCAACCCAACCAACATCACCGTTCGGTCCAATCCTTTTATTACCGTAGCCATAAGGCTTAGGTTGCCCTGTTTTCTCTTTCTCACAAAGTGGTAAAGAGAAGAACTTGGTGGCTTCAGATTCCAGCCTGGACATGAAATCCATTGGAACTCCATGGTTGATCACTCTGAAGAATCCAAATTCTTCACAGGCTTTGATTATCTGGTGTTTGGAGTCGGGTTTTGAGAGGTCTACAACAGGGATTTGAGGGAACAATGCGGTTGGCCTGCTGTTTCTGATATAAGAGAACTGTTCAATTGCTGGTTTTGCCAACATCACCATTGTTTTTGCCTACTGTTTTCTTTATCAGTCGTTGATGTTATCCTTGTTGGGTTTTTTGATGTAAGTAAGAAAGGAGAGAAAAGAGATGGAAAAGATGAACCTTTTTTTTTTTTTGCTGCTTTGGTTATTGGTTCTGTTTCTGTGAGTGAATTGATAGAACGGATGAGGTTTGAGTTTGATACCGAATTGTACAAGAAGGGTACATGATGAAATGGCCCTGCATTCCGCGTGGCTATTTATAGGAAGGGAAGAGAGAGAGAGAGTTTCAAAAAGGCAAAAATAAACAAATATTTTAATAAAAACAAACAAAAAAGAGAGAGAGAGGAAAATATATATTTTATTTCAATTAAACAAAAGAAAAATAATGGACAAGAGAAGATACATTGTTTTTTGACTGTTAATTTTACTCCAAACAGGCAAATAGGTCGGCCATCAGGACCTTTCAGAAAAAAGCAGTCTAGTCAACACCATTGCCCTTATTATTAATACAAACTTGGATTTCATCCTAGTACACCAATTCATGAAACATGAAACGCATCTCTAACAAATGGTCACATCAAACAGAAGCCCTGGAAACTTATCCATTCAATTCTTCTTATTAATATTTTCCTTGTTATTTCTTTTTCTTATTATAATTCTTTCGAGACTTTCCCTCAGTGACTCTCGAAGAAAGAGGAAGCTCTTTCATTTTGAATTGTCTTCTCCAAAGGGAAAAACAAATCTTATCTTCATTCAATTATTCTCCTTTTTACTAGAACAAGGAATCAAATTCCATTTGCATTTTCCATGCACCCAAGGGTCTACAACAAGCTAGTCATATGATGCTATTTTGTGACATATTAATTGCACCGTATGTGACATCATTGTTCCCTCACTCATTTTATCTTCATATCTTAACCATAGCATATCTTACCAACAATTCTACCAGGTCATCTGAGGTTAATTCCCATTAATTATTTCTCTTAAGAAAAAAAAAAAAAAGAACATGAGAGGACATTGCTATGAGTTCTTTTTTTTATTAGAAAAGGTCGAGAGTACATTAAATATCAGGCTTGATTCTCCATAGGACCTACCCTCTGTATATAATTGAGGGGGTGGGGTTGGAGAGATTTAAGAGTTTATGGTCTATGTGGCAAAAGCTTCAAACAAAATGAAAATGCTTAAGGATTTGCTCCGTGGCATTTTCCTACCATGTAAAATGGGAGAAGGCTCAGGGGTTAATTAGCAAATTCAATATATATATATATATAATATCCCACGAAATCTGACTAGCAGAGAAGAATATTCTTCAACACCTAACTAAAACTTGACTTATGGTTTTCTGATGACTCAATTGGGTTTGACGTTTTCAACTTTGGTGTTCTCGAGATTTTAGTATTTCAATGTGATGTCCTGCGTATGAGATTCCTTTAATAGATATCATGGCATCTTCCTCCCCTTCAAAAGCTGGCTGTATTCCTACTCCTTTTGTAATAAATATTCCTCGTTTCTTCTCATCTTTGTATTTCCGACAACATTACTCAAGCATGTTCCACTTCAATCTGCATCTCGTATGCTAACTCCATGGATCTGTATGGCGCAAAATAAATGCATACTCATGAGTCATGTTACCCTGTCTAATCAACACCAAGCCCCTTCCCTTAACCTTAAGAGAATATATATCTTGCTCTTATTAATTATTCATACTAATCACTGTTTGAATTAGCAAATAATAATGTGGCAGTCCAGTATTTAGTTCAATGAAGATAATGCATACATCTCGAGACTTGGATTTCTTCGATTTAGAATATCAAGTTCCAATTAACTAAGATAAGGGTATCTTTATATCTCCACTCCCAAGCACATTTTCGACGATATTTTCCTTGTCGAATCATTAAAAGTAATTAATTAGTCTCAACTCTACTATCCTAAGTACCTTAATTTAATCTCGCATTTGGCTCATTTCATAGGAATTCTTGAACACGAGTTAATTGAGTTTTCGAAGTCATATATTTACCTAAACTAGCTACAACTCTACACGAATTGAAGTCTTAAATAAGAAGTTTAGGGTCAAAAAAGTACAACTCAAACTCGATAATGTTAAGAAACTCATATATAAACAAGGTTGATCAAAGCAGATTTTGGCTTCATTTAAATATGGCCTGGCTAGAGATCAATAGACAATAGTGTTTGTTTGACAATGGAATCTGTGCCTATATATCGTGGAATGTACATCACATGGCTACAGTTTTTTTCTTATCGGCAAGTAGCATCATGTCTTCTTATAGGGAGAATACTTACTCATTCTACTTGACTTAACCTTTCAAATTCATCTCCCTCTGCTTCTAATTCGTTCAATCAAAGTACAATGTTTTGGCCAATGTTTAATCAAGTACTTTAATGCTGTCCATTTGGCATAGTGTTAGTCCTTCCCGGAGATTGATTGATATTGACAAATTAGACAACAGCAAAAGAGAGTGAACTACTAATTGAGGAGGGTTTGCCCTTCGAGATTTTATGCAAAGTTTTTCTGTCTAATAATCAGGCTATGCAAGCTGTCCTAGCTACTCTTACTAGGTAGAACATCTATCCTAGAAAAGGCTACCATATTTCCCAGGAGGGAGGCACATAGATGAGTATGCATGCTTCCCTTGAGGAGGAAAAAGGATAACTGCCTAACTCTTGTTATTCTTTTTGGAGAGGATGAGGTCTGGTTCTAATTCTAATTTTTCTTTGTATTTTCTCAAATGTTCAAAAAAAAAAACAAGAAAAGAAAAGAAAAAGGTAAGGAAACCCTAATTCCTACATATTTTTTCTTATAGATAATTGCTAACACACTTCCATTAGAATCATTGTTATGGGTTTTATCATAAAGAGCAAAAGGAACTTTAGATACCCAGCTGCCATGTGATTTGAGCAATAATGTAGGGTTTGTGGATATGTACTTGACACTCTGATCTTTTTAAAGGTAATTTGTACTTATGAACTGAATTCATACTTATCCATGCACCAGATAAGTTAGAATCTAACTTTACTATTGATTTTTTTTATGTTACATAAATATATTATTTAATTTAAAATTAATTTATAATTATTTTAAATTTACATGAACTTTTTAAATTTTTTTAAAAAAATATATAAAAATGATCACGTGATATTTTTAGGTATAAAGATTATATCTTTCAATCGTTTGACATGAACATCAAAGATAGACATGGATGTATTTCTAATCAATCTAACTAGAGCATTCAATAAGAATAATTAACCAAATTAACAATTATAATATATGTCAAGAATTGATGCAAGGAGATCCATGAACAAGGAAGAATTGGCTTGGTCTTTGACCAAGGCGACAATAAAACATTCAAAGGCACCTCAAGGAATTAAAAAAGATGTGGAATAACATGGCATGTGCAATGCAACAACATGAAGTAAGCAAGTGGGAATTTTCAAAATAAAAAAAAAAATGCACCAACAACATTTATGTGCTATATACATAGTCAATTCAAAATAATAGATTATCCTTTTTGTCATATAAAAACAAGAAGAAAATGAAGAGGAAATATAAAAGGTAAACATGGAAAGGTCATCCAATAATCGTAGTTGACCATTGAGTCACGCTCAATAAGAATTTCTTTCTTTCTTTCTTTCTTTTTATAATTATTTTATTTATTAATATATTAAAATTAAAATCCCAAGGTGGAAGATAAGAAAGCAAAGGAAAGACCCACTTCTAGTTCCAAGATGACAGATCCCTTTGGTACTCCCAAAAAGCCAAGTGAGTCAGCTTTTTTTTTTTTTTAATTTTTGGTTGAGTTTGAAATTTGGGACAGAGACACACGTGTTAGAAGGGTAGCCTCCACTTGTATAGTTCAACGCGTGGATGTCTAGGAACGCCTCGTTCCTTATCAGATTACGTGCCTTTCTCTCATTCGTAGCTTTCGCTGTCGGTCACATATTGTCGACATCTTTTTATTTTTTTATTTTTTTATTTCAATAAATTAATAATTGTAAGAAGAAGAAGGAAAAAAATTAAAAAAAAATGGAAAACAAAGAAGGAAACAAGAGGATGCTTCGTGGCAGCAGTCATGGAATCCAGTTTCATTCTAGGTAGGCTGAACGGCACGTAGTTTTTCTTTTATGACAAATTTTTTATTTTATTTTATAAGATCAAGAAAGTTCAATATGGGAGGAAAGATTCGCACCTTAAATTAAATACTTTATACAATTATCTTATCAATTACGAAATTAATTATCATTATTCAAGTCAAATTTGGTACCTAGAGAAATGATTAGACATGCTTTCAGTATTCTACATTTTCATTTTATTTTTTTATAAACATTTATGTGGGATTCATCTGGGAAACTATATAGTATTGTATGAAAGATGGTCGGTTCAATTTTTTGAATTATATGAAGGGTTTTAATCATTTGATTGGGAAAAACTTTATTCACAAAGTGTTTGGTTATGTCAAGGTTGAATTATTTGTTGGTAAAAACATGCAATCTTGGAATTAAAAGAATTGGACCCCTTAACGGGTCCCATTTGGATATCCATAGCTTTCACAGGGGCTGTCAGGCCTCTAATTAATCCTCCTCCTTCCCCTAAGAAAAAAAAATAATTAATCTATTTCGTTTTAAGATATGAATTTAAAACTTTTAAATTGTAGTTTCTCGAGAGAGCAAAATTATGTATACTGTTAAAAAGCATGATTTTAAGCATAATGAAAGTCGATTTCATATTTCAGTGTTTTCCAAGAATTTCATGATTACTCTACTAAGAATTTCGTAATTAACTTATACTACTGATTACATTATCAATTTGGAATTTAAAAAAAAATGATACCTTTGTATATCGTCACAATCAATTATCCTACTCACTTAATTCGAGCTTTGAAATTTTCGTGATACATCAAAATAAGCTAAATATAGCTAGATTGATTGATCAATTGTTGTCAAAAACATGAAAATCTGGATAAAAAGGGACCCAACTTGAAAGCACGAGCAGAAAGAGTACTGTGCTTGCTTCATTATTGGTCATTACAACCATCTTTCAATTCCTGGCCTAGCTTGAAAAGAAAGATGCATAGTTTCTGACCATCCAGTCATGACAATGCATAAAGTAGGCGTGTTTCTCATTTGCATACTGTTATATATAAATAAGTATATAATTATTTATCTATCTATCCATATATATTGCGTATTGAATAATGATTCGGATTGA